CTGCAGCTAATCTATAAAATATATTTATGTCTTAATATATCTATACTTATACTATATTTATATATATAACAATTATAATACCTTGTACGAGCAAAATCAAGTGGATATACAAATAAAAGAGATGTTGCTCCAGCAGCTCCACCAGAAGCCAAATTTCCTGCTAATTGTCTCCAAAATGCATCTTTTGGGACACCTTCTAAGAATAAAGCTTTGAATTTGTCTTTAAATGCAAAATTTAAAGCTTGAGTTGGGAAATACCGAATTACATTAGCTAAATTCCCTCTCCAAAAACTGAGGAAACCAGTTTCTTTTGGTATGCGAATGAATGCATCCATCATACCTAATAAAATTAAAAGATATAAAAATATTATTTTAATTTTAAAAAAATAATATTGAAATATAATATTGAAAAAATATACCTTTATACCGATCTTCTGGTCTTATTTGTTTTGAAGTATGTTGAACTTGGAGTAATAACTTTACTCTTTCTAATGGTGCAACTGCAGTTTTTGATACAGCTGCAGATATTCCACCAGCTAAAAAATCAATTAAAAATGACTTATATGCATCCATATTATAAATTTTTAAGAAATATATGCATCTTCAGAGAAAAATTGCAATTTGCAAATATGAAACTGATTTAAATTATAAATCATATTATAATACACGTTATATTATAATGTTAACATAATTTTATAAATCAAATACTTTTTATAACTTTATTTATACACAAATAATGAACAACATATTGAAAATATAAGACTTTTACAAATAAATATTAACCAACATCTGACATGAGCTTTTTTTACAACAATTTCATTTGTAACTTCTATTGTTTTTTTTATTTTGTTTTTGATGTACTTATAATAATGGGAAAGGTAAATGAATACACAAAAAATTTGATGTTAACGTTTAATCGTTTTTACATAAAATTAAATTTTTTTTTCATTAATTTAAGGCGTTAAATTGGTCATACAAATTTTATCATTAAAGCATTCAAATTTGTTTTAAGAACTATAATTATAATTTTTTTCGTACAAAGAGTTTCAGATCACAGTAAATTCTAAGCTAAAATCGACGCAAATATATTAATGTATCTTCAGAGGAAGAAAATATATATAATTAAACATTAAGTAAAAATATTTTTAATTTGAGAGACTAGATAAAAATACTTTACATCAAACCACATTGAATAAATATAGAATAATAATTGTTTCAATTCTAAAATGGTCATACTTGTTAATTATATCAATAGAGTTGAAAAGTACACAGCATATTTAGTGGAATGTTTCGGCACATAATGGCAAAGTTATGGACAAGACTGAACTAATATTGAATCAATATATCAATATATCTTGAATCAATATGACATTCAAAAGGATATATTTATATTTTTTTTCTCTTTTATTCCTAAGTGAATAAAATATTTGTTAAAAAATAATAAACGTGAATAAAATTTGTTAAAAAATATAATAAACATAAAATTTTAATACGAATTTAACTTATTATGTAAAAATGAAAATGATATTATAATAAATCTTCAATATAAATCAAATAAAATACTTATTCACTGCCTGTATATAATTTAGGCATTGCTATCTATTGTATAAAATTAAAATAATCAAATATATATATATGCGAATATTGTGCGAATATATTCACAATTTATAATAATTATATAATTTATTTTTAATAATATATATCAATTTAAATATACTTCTTTTGAAAATATTCATTCAAAATTGGCACTATGGAAAATGATTTTGTTATCTTTAATTAATTGGCAGTGAAAATACCGAACTTGTTGTTCAACAAAATATCAGTTAAGTTAAAATTTATAAGTTGACTTTAATATGCAACAGTATATTAAAATAAATGTGTATATCAAAGATTCATTCTATATTTCAATATTTAATAATGAATGTAAGAAATTCAAAATTTTTGTACCATTTGATTAAGCTGCATGAACAGACTGAAAAAAAAAATTATAATTAGGAAATTTTTTCTATTGATATATTATAAATATTAATTTTAATTAAGCATACTTTTGCAATATCCACGCCTGTTAAATTCTTAACCAATTCTGGTACACGTGTTACTATATTAAATACTTCTTCAGTTAATTTTTCTGCTCCGATAGTTCCATTTCCACTAGAAACCATTGTTATTTTCTTTGCTTGTGATAAAGGTGCTGCAACTTCAGCTGCAACCTGAAAAGATATAAGATAAAAAAAAAAATAATATAAAAGACATTTAGCTAAAAAAAATTAAAATCTAAATTTTTTTAAATTACTTTTGGAAGCGTATCCAGCATCATATCAATCATAGCAGCACTTTTATATTCATTCCATGCAGCAGCTTTTTTTGCCATTTGTTCTGCTTCTGCTGTGGCTTTTGCTTTAATAGCATATGCTTCTGCTTCGCCACGAATTTTGATAGCTTCTGCTTCAGCTTCAGCTTCCATTACTAAACGCATTTTATTAGCTTCAGCCATTTTTTCTAATCTGTAGACATATTTTAATAAATTGTTTAGTATTTTAATAAGTTATTTATTAATTTTTATTTAATGTTAATTATCTTACCTATATTTTTCTGCATCAGCAGGACGTCGAACAGTTGCATCCAGTTCTCGTTCACGTCTCATCATTTCTTGTTCTTGTACTGCAATTTCTTGTCCACGTTCAACTACTTTTATTTGCATTTGTTCTTCCATAATTCTTTGTTTAGTTTTCGCAGCTTGCAATTCAAATGCCATTTCTGCTTCTGCTTTCTATAATTAAAATACACATGACAAAAATTTCTAAAAAAAAAACAATATATTTATTTAAACAATAACATAAATAATAACCTACTTTAGTTTGTACTTCAACATCATATGCAGCTTTTTTTAATTCAAAATCACGCTGTGCTTTAGCAATCTCAGTATCATTAAGAAAACGAGCAGCCATTCTTTGTTCTTCAGCAATAGCTTCGCGAATTTGAGCATCTCTACGAGCTTCTGCTTCACCAATTCTTGCATCACGTTTTACCTCAGCAGTTCGGGCCATTCCAAGAGCTTTTAAGTATCCCTATAAATGATCATTAAATATATAATATTACAATTAATAATATTATATTTTCATTATAAATTTTGCATAATAACATTCATTTTAGCAATTACTTTAAATTCAACCTGAATTACAGAAAGACAGCATACAATAAGAATATCACACATATTTGAAACACAGAAATTTGCAAATGTGTACAATATTTGTGCTACCATTTAAGCAAGCATTTGAGATATGTTCTAATTCCCTTTTATTCAAATTGTTAATGATTTGTACTAATATTGTTTGAACAGCAGTGCAGTGGCATTATATGTAGTGATAAAACAAAATTTGAACGTACCTTTGCCCCCTGCAAGTAGCAAAACAAAAATGTATTCAATTTACAATGTATAAAAATTGGACTACATTAACTCATATAATAAAAAATTAATTATAAGTATCTCACAATCATCTAAAGGGGGACTTTTGATACTAAAAAGATTTCACATATATGTAAATATATACTATATTTTATTACTTTCAATTGTTTTGTATTTTTTGCATAAAAATTCTCCTTAAATTCAATCAAAATTAAATGTTTTTTAATAAAAAGAAAAAGATTAACTTACTTCTTCATCTCGAATATCTTTTAATGTATAGGATACAACAGTAATGCCCATATTGACTAGATCACTGCTTGCTACTTCAAAAACTTCTTTGCTAAATTTTTTACGATCTTTATATATTTCCTATATGATACAAAAACATAAGAAATTAAATAAAATTAATATTTATTTTTTATAATAATAATATAATAATATTTAAATTTATATATATTTAATATATAAGTTAAATTTAATATATCTTATTATTACCTCTACAGTCATGCTTCCCATTATTGCTCGTTGATGTCCTTCTAATGTTACAAGTGCAATATTATGAATTTCTTCTTCAGTTTTTCCAAGAAATTGTTCACATGCTGTAGATAACATTTCTTCATTTTGTCCTTGTATTTTAACCTTTGAATATATATTTAAATATTTTGTAAATAGATAATTAAATAGATATTTATTTATTCATATTTACTTATTTCATATTTAAATTTTAATTATATTAAAAATACATATTTTTCACTTTTACCTGTGCAATTCCTGTTACAGATATTGGTACACCTTGACAAGTATATACAGTTGGACTTTCTACTTGTAAAGTCATAGTATTTAATGAAATTCTAGAAAATATAAAATTTATATAAGATAGTATATTACAATTATTAAATATTTTATATTATATTAAATGGTTTTCTAACATAAAAATTCAATTTAAATATTTATTTATTTTATATAAATATAATAATTTACTTACTTTTGTACTTGTTGAACAATAGGCCAAACAAATACTCTACCTCCAGGTACTAATAAAGGTTTACTATAACAACATCCTAAAGAAAAAAAATTATCAATATATAATAATAATATACTATATATTATATATAAAATTTTATATTAATATTCAAATATAGCATTTAATTCTAGCATTTTACAAAAAGATATAAAGGAATAAATATATAATTAAATTATATATATATACAATATCATATCTCAATATTAAATATACAAAATTAATTAATCAATATATTACATAATTAATTTTTCTACTTTATGATGAACTCTGCCAATCAATTAATTGACAAAGTGCTCCTCCCATGTTATATTCAATGTGAAAAAGAAAATAATTTACAATATAAATCATTCTATATAATTACCGGATACTACGAGAGCTTCGTTTGGACCACAAGTAACGAATCCACAACTCATTGTCACAATTTTAAAAAAAACAATAGTTATTGCAAATTTAAAATGGATCGAATTTTAGTGTAATCCCTCTATAGTCAATTGATGTCGCTACAGTGTTGTCATTCTGCGAGATATCTGAATTTATGCCGCGTTTACAATAATTCATAGATACATATGCTTAAGTTTTTAGATTTATATTTTAATTTATACTTTATTTTAAATAATCATTTTTATAATATTGATTAAAATTTATTTTACATATATTATATATATAACAGAAATAATAATTCTTATTTATTTCTATATTAATAATATTAAAATCGTCTAAATTGCTTCTTAAATCTTTCATAATGATAATCATCAGTTGCCTTTTCTCCATTGTCTTTTCTTTTCCCTTTATAATCGTCTCTGGGAGCTATTATCTTTTTCCTATCATCAGAATCTTGTTTTGATTTCTGGAAATCTGTATCTTCTATATTAACTAAAAAAAATATGAAAAAATTATATTTATATATTATAATGATTTATAAAATAAATAAAATAAGAAATTAAATAAATAATATACATCTATTATGTTGTACGAAATTCACAGCCATATTTGTTGGTACAAATTGTGAGGGACCATCCTTTTTTCTATGTCTATCCCAAAGCAATTTTAACTTAGCTTCTTCTGTAGCTTCGATATTACGAATCTTTGCCCTAAAAATGTATTTTATGTTTTAGAAGGAAATATTCTTTTATATGCAATTTGTTAAAAAATTGAAACATAAAAATTTTAAAAAATAAAGAAATGTATTAAAATATATTCTAACATACTCTATTCCAAGATCTACTTCTGGTATACCAGATAACATTTGATTTGAAAGCATTTCTTCACTTCTATGTGCAGAACTTTGTCTTAAATGTTCAGGTACTGCTTGCAAAGCTGCTTCTTCTGGTGAACAATAAGATCCTTTATCATTATTTAATCCATTTTCTGTTTTGTCCTCATTTTTACTTTTTCTTTTTGATAATTCTTCTTCAATATATTTTACCCTAATCAAATTAGAAATGTTTAATTATCTATTTAATGAATTAAATGTACATCATAATTATAATATTCACATTTCTTCATCTTCATCTCGTTTATTAGTTTCTGCATTAAATTGTGTTCCAATTCCAGTTTCATATGCATCATTTTGTTTTAATTTTGTATTTTTCAATGCTGCCATATTTACCATTCCTCCAGTTTTTACATTAAATGGATCTGACTAGAAAAAAAAATTCCTTAGAAAAAAATTTTTTATATTTTGTTTATTAATTATAATAATATCATTATTACCATTATTACATCAGGTGTTACATTTTCTCCAAGGGCTAATCCAACGACATTAACACCTTTTGGTCGTTCACGAAGTTTCTGTATAATTTTCATTTCTTCAACTTTTTCTCTAAACATATATATATTTTTATTTTAATGAAATAATTTTATAATATTTTTCAATAAAATAATTATTCTACATTTATTTAAAATAATTATTTATCATTAAATATAATAATTTACCTGATAGATATTTCTTCATCTTCATTATCATCTTCATCCAATAAAACTTGTCGTTTTCTTAATGCTTTCTTATATTTTTTTTTAAATTTTATTTTATTCTCCTCTGAATTACTCATCTATTTTAATTAAGAAAAAAATCATAATTTTATATATTTATATTTATATATTTATTGTGATTATTTATTATAAATATAATTTTAAACTAATAATATTATATTAATATTACATTTTACATTAAATGTATATAATTATTTATACTATAAATATAAACAACATTTATAAATGCTTGTAGCCTTAAAAAACAATTATAAGTTAATACATGCTAATAATAAATAAGTTAATACATGAAAAAATATTTTATATATAATATAAATATAAATAAATAAATACTTTTATGATTGTTTACAAAAAGTATTTTTGTACTATATTAATAACAAAAAAAAATGATTCTATTCAATATTTGTATTCCATAAATCACAATAGTATTAAATGTGAATAATATGAAAAAATATCAATATATGAATTTATTGTCAAGTCTAGTAACTTGAATAGATATAGACAAGATTGGTATGTAAATATTAACTAAATATGTATTTTTATACTATTTACTGTTATATACATATACCATATAGAATATATACCATAGAGAACTATAGAGGATAAGGATAGAACTAAGGATAGAATTAGATAAAAATATTCTATAGTTATCTTATAAAATCTTATAAAATTTTGTATATTTTATATTGTGAAAAAATTAAAAGTTTTTTTTAGATATCATTAATATAACGTTTAAAATATATCAATTAATATAAAATTAATTCGATTTTATATTTTTATAAAAATTTGAAAAAAATAATTTCCGCAACTGAAGAATTAATTTGATTTAAATAGAATATTAAATAGATATGTAAAATTATATAATAAAAAAATGTATTATATATAATTATATATAATAAAATGTAATATTCTTTCTTAAATATAAATATTGTTCCCTTTCAAACTTATAGGAACATTTCCTATCTAAGATATATTTATTCCTTGTTCTTATATGTGACAAATACACGTGTTTCATATTTCAATATGAAAAATAAACCAGTTCGTCATAAAGAATTAAATACATTTCAGGTATAAAATATGAAGCAAATATATTTCAAATATAAAGTATTTTTTTTAATATAATATACAATATTTAATACAATATTTTTGGTATTTTTTTTATATAGTTTAAAACATTTTCCGAAAGAATAAATGAAATCGATGTTGATATATTTCATTATGTTTCACATCGAAACGAGGAAAATGATGAAGAAGCCGAAACTTATTTTTATCAAACACTTCAAAAATGGAATTTTCTTAACCTTACAGAAGGTTATTGCAGTTTTAAAAAGAAAGTTCGTAATATCATAACTCTTCCTCAATTGATTAATCAAAAGCAGTTCGTAATAGATACGTTAATAGAATATTTAGAGAAGAGAGATATTTTGTTTTTACAACCAATTTTAGAGTAAGTATTGTATTAAAAGTTTTATCAATTAATAAAGTTAAAAAATAATAAAAAGAAAGATTAAAAAAAATATATATATAAAATATATATATCTATTAATCATATAATCACATTTTTTATTGCAGATTAGTAGTGGCTGTATCAAAAGATTTGCAAAAAGATTTTTATGAATATTTTCCTAGATGTTTAATTGTTATTATTGATTTATTACGAACAAAGGATACAGAACAAATAGAATATACATTTACATCACTAGCTTATTTATTTAAATTTTTATGGAGATATCTAATTCAAAATATAAAAACTGTATTTGATCTTTTGTTGCCATTATTAGCAGATACACAACCAGCTTATGTAAATAGTTTTGCAGCTGAAAGTTTTGCATTTGTGGTACGCAAAATTAAAGATAAAGATTCTTTCTTAAAAACAATATTACATATTTTGAAAAATAATCCTAATGCAATATCAGGATGTGGTAAATTATTATTTGAAGTAATATCTGGTACACCAGGACAATTTCATTCATGTGCAGAACAAATGCTTTCATTATATTTCAATGCATTAAATAATGAATCTTTTAATCAAAATCTAATGTTTAAATTATTAAAAGAAATTATTGACTGTTTGCTACAAAATATATATCCACAGAAATGTCATATATTTTGGTCTGTATTTTTAAATGTTATGGACAAATTTATTGAAAAAACTAGAAATTTTCAATTAACAACTGGAAAGCAAAAAAGTTTAATTCTTTTGATGCAATTGTTGAATACAATTATAAATTATAAAAATGGAAAAATTGTTATAGATCCTGTATCATTGATTAAAAAGTTGGTTCAAATTTTAAATATTTTTGAAAATGAAAATGATGTATTGCAAGAAACTATAAATGTATCAGTTACTATTCTTTTGGCAACTAATGTTAAATTGATGCAAGAGACATCCAGTCAAATATTATTTAAAATTATGTCTGTGAAAGATATCAAATTATTATATGGTACTGTTGAAAGTTTAATGCACTATTCATCATTTGAAACTTTAATATTGCCTCATATAATACGACATAGCATCTCCATTGGTTTTAATGATGACATTTTAGAACTGTTTACTAAGATAATTAAAGTAAAAGCTCCCTTATGTCTTAATGGTATCAATTTGAATAAATGGACAAAATACATTTTAGATATACGAGGTGCAAAGTTTGATAGTATTAATTTCTGTCAAAAGAATTTAAAAGCTCTTTTAAATAATGATATACCAGTAAATACATTAAAGACATTAATTATTTTACCACATTTAAAACCTTTGCCAGAAGAATTTAAAGATATTTTAAAAAATGGAATATTATCTTTATATCAACGGATATTAAATAATATCAATATAGAAATTGAAATAAGTAAATTATGTTTGACATTATTAATAGCTTTGGAATCAGCAATTCATATATTGGAATTAGAAATTTTACAAAATTTTATGGAAATGAATGATATAAAAATATTAGACTTAATTACAAAATATCCTGATAATAAGTTCATCTTAAATGCAGTAGATTTATATATAACATATTTTAGTACATCACAATATCGAGATATTTATATAAATAGAATTATATTTGATAAGTTAAATAATAATATTGCACAGAAATTAAGTTCACCTTTTAGTGAAATCCGTTTAATAGTAACACATTTATATTTTTTATTTTCTAATATCAATGAAGTTGAATCTATTTTGAATGAAAAGAATAAAAGAAATCCTATGGAACATATGTATTTAGCAGAATGTGAATCTATATCTGTACAGACTTATAGAAGTAAATTGCTACATTTACAAACATTGTCATATGAAAGTGATGTAATGACAAATTTTGATTTGAAATATTATGAAATTCCTCTTCGATATTTATTGGGAAATCTATATATAAATTTTTCTTTATTGTGGGAACCTGTGAGCAAGATTATAGCTACTTATGCAAATAAAGACTGTGATCAATTTTGGCCTTTATTCTTAACAGAATTAAAATGTGATGAGAAATTAATTACAGATTATAAACCATTGTTTGAATGTAATATTATTTCTGAAATACAAAATGCAATACAAAAAAGCAACGATAAACCAGATTATAAAAATCATAAAATTCTTTTATGGAAATGTATGATAAATTTTTCTCATTTTTGTGAGATAAAAAACAGAGACATAACAGGTTTATTTATTGATTTTGTAAATGATAATTTTTTTAAGTCTAATTCTGAAGATGCCAGATATTGTAATATTTTGAAAATACAAGACTTAACTATTTCTAATAGCAATATGAAAATTGACAAAGAAAATGAAAGTGATAATGAATTTGAAGAATATAAAGAAAATGAAATAGAAGAGAAAGAACAAAAAGAAGTTACAATTTATAAAAATACAGAATTAAGACAAATAAATGCAGAAAATAAAGAAATAGTAAATAAGAATTATAAAGTAAAGCTTTTAATTGCTCAACTTGAAGTATTTGAAAAAATAACAAATCCAAGAACATTATACAGGGAATCAGAAATGCAGAAACTTTATTTAGATTTACTGTCTTCAAAAAATTCTGATATCCAAAGAGCTGCTTTAAAATGTCTTCTTACCTACAAATACAAATATTTATTACCTTATAAAGATAATTTGCTTAGTTTAATTAATGAAAAAAATATGAAAAATGAATTAATACGTTTTAAAATTGATAATGAAAGTAATATGATATTGGATGAACATCGCGATGAATTTATACCTATATTAATGAGGATAATTTATGCGAAAATGATTACAAAAACAGGAATGAGAACTGGTAGTAAAGCTGGAAGTATTCTAAAACGAAAAATGATTTTACGTTTTCTAGCTGGAATTCAAGAAAATGAAATGATCATATTTATAAATATGGCATTTAAACCTTTTAAAAAATATACATTGCTAGAATTAAATAAAATGGATAATCAACAAATTAATTTAAGACAACTTACACAGAATATTATTAATACTATTGATTTGAATAATGTTACACCACCTAAGCGATTACAAAGTGCTACAAATTTGCTTGCAATTTTAATAGAACAATCTGGTAGTAAAATGGGACAAAAATTATTACCTTATTTACTTGGTTTATTAATATGCATTCTGGCAGAAATAACTGGAATTTTACAAAATTCAGATAAAGTTCATGTTGGTTACTTAAGATTAATTAGAAATGTCAGATCAACTTGTATCTCAATATTAGCAAGGTTTTTTAGTCATTTTGAAAATTATGAATGGAATGAATATGAAATAGATGCCTTATATAATGTAGCCATATTTCCATGGTTGGAAAAGTTACCTATGGATGGTATTCATAGTCCTACTCCATTATTACGATTGTTTATGATATGGAGTCAAAACTCTCGTTATTATCCGTTATTTATAAAACATCGCGAAGATAATAAATCTATTAGTCCTCTTCCATATATAATGCAACTTTTATTAAATCCAAAAACAAATGCATCTGTAACTAATGCTATTCTCGAAATGATTGAAAAAATGGTAACATTACAAGATTATGGAAAAACGAATGAAAATAACATGGAAGTTGATACACCTTTTCTTCCTTTAATTCCTATAATTAATAATTTACTTGAAATAAATAAAGAAGCATTATCTAATGATGTCAATTATGGATCTATTATACTTCTTCCTCATGTATTTGATATTTTACAATATATTAAAAATAAACTTGAAAAATCGACTAAAAGAATAAGCAAATCAGAACTTGTAATTTTATCACGTATTTCAGAATTTGTGAAAGATGCAGATGCATGTAACATACTTCTTATTCTTACTTTACCAATATTAACTAAAAAAGCTGGAACTGGTGAAGAAGAAGAAATTATTATTGAATTAATTACAACTATAATAAATCTCGTAAAACAAGTGAAAAAATCAACAACACATATACGAGCAATGTTACCTTTATTAAGTACAATATCGACAATTTCTACTCGTAAACTTCTATTAGAACTTTATAAAACAATTGTTGAAAATTCTACTGAAGATGATCGTGAGACATTAATAAAAAATTATAATTTAATAAATGCGCTTAATGCATGGGATCATAGATGGATTGATCAACCAGATTATCAAAAAAGATTAGATGCATTTTCTGAAATTAATAATACAATGGAAAGGAATGAAATTACATTAGAATTTGGTGTAGCTATTATTCATAATTGTTACTATTTTCTTAAAAATGAATCAGATTTAGCATTGAGAGACAATGCAGGACAATGTCTTAAACTTCTTGGTTGTAAATTAGCAAAGAAATACAAAGAAAATACCGTAGATAGACGTTATTTGATCGATGATACAATTTTAGTACTTATAAGAAAAGGAATAACTAGTAAAATTGAAATTGTAAAATTTCAATCAATAGCTTTTTTGGGATATTTAGCTATGGAATGTTCAGATGTTCATCCCATTTTACGAGATTTATCGCCATTAACTAATAAAATAGATCTCGAAGTAGATTTCTTTGAAAACATGCAACATTTGCAATTACATAGAAGAGCTCGAGCATTACTTAAATTTTGCAATTTTGCAAAAACATTAAAAAAATCAATAAATCCACGGACATTAACACAATTTATTCTTCCTCTTGCTTCTTCATATTTGTGCAATGAAACTTATATACATAAACACAATATTATTGATGCTGCAATTGAAACAATTGGAACTGTATGTAAACTTTTACCATGGCATCAATACGAAATTATTTTAAAACATTATTTAGAAAAAATAAGAAGTTCCATTGAATTTCAGAAACAACTTGTTAGAATTATTGTTATTATTTTAGATTCCTTTCATTTTGATTTATCAAAATATAAACCTACTGAGGAATTTTCAATATCAAAATGTATTAAAAACATTTCTGAAAATGAAATAGTTTTTGATAAAAAGAAAGATGAAGATGAAAATATTGAAGAAAAAAGCAAGGAAAAAAATGATGAACAAAAAATAGAAGAAAAGTTAAACGAAGCTTTAAATTCCGAAAATATAAATAAAATTGAAGAAAAAGTTCAAAAAGAGACACAGGAAATACCTATTATAGAAAAACAGATAATTCTTTCACAGTATGGAGCACAACAAGTTATATTTAGTATATCAAAAGAATTGTTACCTCAATTACATCGTTCCATTATAGCAAGAACAAGTCGTGAAAATAGTCACAAAATTAATAAGAAGAAAATTACAATAGACAACGAGGAAGAAGAATTAATGCGAGTTCCTATTGCTCTTGCTTTTGTAAAATTATTACAGAAATTACCAGAATATTTTTTAGATATTAATTTATCAGGGTAAATATAGTATATATTTTTTCATATAAAATTAATAAATAATGAAAAATTATTAAAATATGGTAATTAATTGTTTCAGAATTTTTATGAAGTTATGTACATTTTTGAAATCTCGTTTAGAATCCGTACGGCGTATCACTCGTGAAATATTACAAAAAATTATGATAACTTTAGGTCCAAAATATCTTCATCATCTTTTAAGAGAAATGAATACCTTATTAACAAAAGGTTTTCAAGTTCATGTCCTTGCATATACAGTACAATCTGTATTAGTTGCTTTGAAACCATATTTTCAAAAATTTGATATCAATAAAAATCTTCAAAGCATTTTATCTGTAAGTATTATTATAAATACATTTTTTGAAAAAATTGTATATTTATTATATTGATAATTTAATTTTGCTTTATATTAGGTATGTAAAATAGATTTATTTGGTTTAACTGCAGAAGAGAAAGAAGTAATAGGAATCGTGAAAAATGTTGTAGAAGCAAAGTCTACAAAAAGTTTTGATATATTTCATATATTAGCACAATATATTACTGAATCATGTTTAGTAGATTTAATTTTACCATTAAAAGAAGTACTTATGAAAACCCATTCACATAAAACTGTGCAAAAAATAATAGAATGTTTGAGAAATATAGTATTAGGATTAGCTGATAATACTTTTATACCATTGGAACAAATGTTGATATTTCTTTATGGTGTAATTTCTGAAAGCATTCCTGAACTTAGACCCGAAAAAAATGATAAACTATTAACAGAAAAAGAAATAGAAACATTTAATAGACAGAAACCAGATTGCTTTATTATACCTCCAGAACCAAAAAATAAAATGGGCATAAAGGCTATTTCAAAAACATCAAAAAATACTAATGCCCATGTCATTATAGAATTTGGTTTAAAACTTTTTCATATTCTATTAAAAAGAGACAAAGTATCGAATGCAGATTTCAAACCTTTAATAGATCCATTTGTACCGCTCATAAGTGAATGTATAAGATCACAACATGTTAAGGTAAAATTATTTTATTTTTAATTTAAATAATATTTATAATTGACTGTGTTTAATATATCAATATTATATTTTTCTAGTTAACTACTTTAAGTTTACAGTGTTTAAACTGGTTGCTCAAAATGGATTTATCTTCAATACAAGAATCAATTTCAAACATATGTACATCTATTTTTGATTTATTACATAAATATGCAGCAGCAGGCTTAAGTAAAGGAGATAATTTCGATTTAGTAATGGCAGGTTTTAAATGTATGTCTGTAATTGTTCGTGATGTGAAACACTATGTAATTAATACAGATCAATTGAAAGCTTTGATCATGTATGCTGAACAAGACATGCATAATACTGATAAACAAGCCACAGCGTTTGGTTTACTCAAAGCAATAATTGCTCGAAAAATGATTCTTCCGGAAATGTATCTAGTTATGGAAAAGGTGGCTGTTTTAAGCATTACATCTGAATTAGAACATGTTAGATTACAATCTCGTTCTGTCTTTTATTCCTATTTAATGGAATATCCTCTTGGTAAACATTTAAATAAACATATAGCATTTTATTTGACGCAAGTTAGCTATGAAATGCAACCTGGTCGGCTTAGTGCTTTAGAAATGATTCATAATATTGTCACAGGATTTCCATTTGTAAGTATATTTATTTATTTTTTTTTTCTTTCTTTTTTTTTTTACCAATTACAAGAAACGAATCAGTTTCAATTTATTTATAATTTATTTATAATTTATAACTTTAGAAAATTTTAATTTTGAAATCAAGTCTTATATTTATAATGGTGGGTGCAAGATTAGTAAATGACGATGATCCAACATGTCGCAAATTGTGTGCCAAATGTATTAAAGAACTAATCAAACGTTTATCTTATAATCGAAGAAGTAAATTATTTGATATAATTATAACATGGTTAAAAGATATAAAGGTATTATTTATAAAATTGAATCTTAAAAATATATACACATATATTTTATTATTATTATAATATAATATTTTTTAGATAATGCATCGAACATTAGCTGCACAATTATGTGGTATATTTGTAACTGTAGAAAAAGATTCTTTTGATTCTCGTTTAAAAGAAATATTACCTCTTATTTTAAAACAATTTCATGCAAATTTTAATGATGATAATGAACCGGGTCGTTTTGTGAAAATTCATTCGGAAGAAAAAACTCAATTAGAAGTGCACAACATCAAAGATCCAGAAAGAATGAAAGATCATCATATGTTTCAAGTATTACAGTTGGTATTAAAAATATCAGCAAATTGTACAACATTTCTTAAAAATGAAGAATATAAAGAAGCTATTCATTTATTCGCTGGTTAGCATAATTATTTATTTATTACCTAATATACTTTATAATAGTATTTAATTTTTAAGTAATTTTTTACATTTCAGAATATAGTCAATCTTTACTGGCACATCCTCATACATGGGTTCGTTTAGCAGCTTCTCAAATGATTGGTTTCATTTTAGCTATTCTTGATGTTGATAAGATTATAGACATTATAAACAATCCAGAAAAATATGAAAAAGAAATCGGTTTCATATATTCCGATCCTATTACCATTATAAAAAGTTTAACTTTAGATTTAGTTGCACAATTACAGCCTGATATGACATTAGAAGAATTAACTGACCAGACTGTTAAAAACTTAATTTTTATTGCAAGAATTTTGAAATCTATAAAAAAAATTAATACAATTGCTATTGATCAAAATGATGAAATAAAATCAGATAAAAATCAGTTATCTCTTCCTTGGCTTGTTAGAAAATTGAGAAAAGCTGTAAATAAAGAAATAACTCAAACTCCTAAGTCAATAACAGTGGTAAATATTCATAATTGTTATATTATTTTTATATAATTTTAAAAAAATTATTGGAATATGAATTTATTTTTTTTTAGCGAATTGCTTTCTTTAAATGGGTGGCTGGTGTTGTGGTTACAATACCTATGGAATTCTTAAATATAATACTTTTTAACATCATGTCACCAATTGTGCGAGAAATATCGGCAGTAGAAGAAAAAAATACTACTTTAAGGCGATTAGCTAAAGAAGCGGCTATGATGATTAAAAAACGTTTAGATAATGAACAATACACTAAATTATTAAATCGAATACAACAGAATTTAGATATTAAGAAAGCAGAAAGAAGAAAAATTCGTACGCAACAGGTAATTTCTTATATTTTTTTATATTTTCATTATTTTTTATAAAATGAATAATAAAAATATGATTTATAAAATGATAATATACGATTAATATAATAATAAATGAAATAAATATATAATTTATAATACACGATAATAAACGAAAAAAATATCTAATGTTAAATTTTTTTTTATCGCAGTTTGTAACGGATCCGGAATTGGCTGCTAAACGTAAAATTGTAAGACAACAAAAAAAGAAGGAAGCTAAAAAAAGAAAATTGGATATAATAAGAGGGAAAAAAAATATCAAAAAAACATTTGAAAAAAAAATTGATATTTAGATGTCATATAAATAAATAAATTAAAAAAAATTTAAATATGTAAATATTATATTTGAATATGTACATAAATATATATTTAATTTTTTAAGTAATATTATACAGACATTGTAAAAATAAAATATAAGATATATTGAGAAATATTGTTTAATTTATTCTTATGATAATGTTATCTTCAAAAAATTTACGAACTTGAAGTATATTATTAAGTATAATTAAACTATTAATATTCGTCCATGAAAAGTTATTAGTTATTTCTTTAATTTTTATGCATAAGATATTTTACTTATATAAGAGATTATTATTTAGAGTTTAAATTTCTTGGTAAAGTAAAAAACAATCTTATCGGTGGTTCGATATAAAAAGACGAAGTTAGAATTGGAACATAAGAATTGATTATTTTTGAACGAAGAATTCAATTGATCGTCCAATCATTCTTCGTCTAACCAATTTTAGTTCGAACGTTTTCATTGATTGTTGAAGTGTTGAATTGTTGTAGAATCATAAACTTGTGTGCACGAAAACTTTATTTTAACTATGTTTGCCATCGTGATGTTAATTGTGATATTAATATTATCAATTATTTTTATAAAAATCAGAAAAGATACAAAACCATATCCTCCAGGTAATTGAAGATATTTTTTATGAGTTATATTATCCTATAAAATTAGTGGATCATTATTTTTGTAAATTACATTATCCTATAAAATTAGTCATCAAAAATATAAAATTGTATATATTTTTTTTTTTATTTTTTCATTTGAATATTATTATATTTTATTATATTTTTATAATAAATTACTATATTTTTGATTTTGATACAAAGTTTTAAAGACATTATTGTTTAAAATATTTTATTTGTTTTTTCACAAGAACATAGAATTATCACATTTAAAATTAAAAATATTAAATTATTGTTTAAATCACAAAAAATATAATCATTTTGTCACATACATACTATTTAAAATTATTAATTTAATATTTAATATATTTAATTTAAAATAATATTTAAAAAATACGTGAGAAATAAAAAAATGGAAGCTGCTAAGTAATTCATGCAGACATAAATTGTAATCGATTTCATTTGATCAATTTATTTAATTAGTTTAATTTCTTTGGTGGCATTAATTCTGTTGAAAGTTATTTACTTATTTTTTTCAAAGTATTTATATTTCTTTCAAAATATTTATTGTTTTATATTCTTAATTATTATTATTATTATTTAACATTTGCTTTGTTACGTACAGTAGTACACTTAATGTTTGCATTTTTGGTTATTTAAGCATGCATCACTATCCCCACCAATTCTTGACAAAGGGACAGAATAAGCTTCGAGCAGTGTAGTTTATATCAATATTCACTCACATTTATTTCCTTTCAATTCAATGAAATTATAAAGATCAGAAAAGTTACCTTAATCAGAAAAGTTAACTTAAAAGTTAACTTAACTTAAATATTTAATCCCAACTGCGGATACTACTACATATATTTTTATATTTATTTATTTTTAATTATCACTTATATTATTCGATTTATGAATAAAAGTTTAGTCAAAATTATTATTATATTTGTTTATTGATCTATTTAAAAATCTATTTTTTTTATTTATCTATTTATCTATTTATCTATTTATCTAGATTATTTAATAATCTAATTTTTTAATATATTTTTTTTATTGAATGTGATGGCTTTCGATAATCAACATTTATATTGAAGATTTTGACAGTTGAATTTTTAAAAGTTTAATATAATAGATAAGAGTTTAATATATTAATTAATATTAATAAAGTTTAATATAATAGGTAGATTTTTGATCTTTAATATGATAGTAATATTAAATAAAGTATTAATCTTTAATATTGGTATATTAATGTTAAATAAATGATAATGTTATAAATGATATTTTTTTTCTTTTTTTAAATCTCGATTATTTTTTAGGACCATTTTCATGGCCCTTTATCGGCAATCAGTTTCTATTGAAACGTTTAACACGTGAATTTGGAGGACAACATAAAGCATTTTTGGAGCTCTCAAAACGATATAATAGTGATATTATAACTGTGAATATTAGTCATGAGAAAATAATAATCATTTCTGGAAGTAAATTTTGTGATATGATATTGCAAAACGAGGAATTCCAAGGGCGTCCTTGGAATGAATTTATTAAAATTCGAAATATGGGCAAGAAACAAGGTACATTAAAATTTGAATCTATTTTAAAACAAATTTCGAATATTTAGTTTTATAATTATACAATTTAAATTTTATAATTCTTAAAATAGATAATAAAATTTAAAATATTCATTTTTAAATTTGAAGTCACATTATAAGTACAATATTTTGAATATAGAAAATATTTCGTTTAACTGAATAAAATATTTTAGAGAAATTGAAAGAGATTGATTATCAAAAAAATATTTTTATAAAAATTCAATGGAACAGTATAAATATTTTTTTTATAGGTCAAATAAGAAAGATTTCAATTTTATTTTTTTAAATTAAAAATTATATAATTTTAAATGTATTAATCAATTTATCTGGAGCTTTTCTTATTTGAAAATTTTTCGAAATTTACTTACTTAAAAATGAAATTTCAAATTAAAAAATTTTATTTTATATTTTCGATTTATTTCTTATATAGAATCATTTATTATGTATTGTACTATTAGTTATGAGATCTTCTATAATGATAAAAACTTAGTTATAAGATCCTATGTAATATGATTCATTTTTATTAAAAATATGAATTATAATATATTATCTTATAATAAATTAGGAAAATATATTAAATATTATAGTGAGATAGATAAAAAATAAGAAGGAATAAATTTTTACCGATAATTTACTCATGTCTAATTGAAAATTGATTAATGAATAATAAATTAACCAATTTCATTTATAGTTGAAAAATTTTCTATATGTACTTTATTCCTAAACAAAAAAATTTTTCTTTTCCAATTTATTTTATTTGCATATAGAATTATATAGATTATTATATCACTAATTATCAAATACTCTGTATAAATATGATTTATTTTCAATTAATGATATTATCATTTCTTATTGAAAGGAATCACAATGAACGATGGACCAGAATGGAAAGAATTACGAAATTGGATGATGCGAACCATGAAGATTTTCGGTTTTGGAAAAAGTGAAATGATTAAAATGATTCAAAATCAATTAATCATATTTTCAGAAAACTTGAATAAAAATAAATTACATCGATTGAAACTATTGTTTGTACCAGCTGTAATTAATGTCCTCTGGAATTTTACAACGGGAGAATTAACGGCATTTGATCAACAGCAGAAGTACAAACATGAATAATTATATATATATATATATATATATATATGTAAAACACAATGAATCGTGATCGTTAGTCCTTTTTCCCAATGTTTCTTCGTAGATTAGAATATTTTCTCGACTTGTTGGAACGTCGATCGAAATGCTTCGATATCACAGGTGGGCTTCTCTCCGCTTTCCCTTGGATTCGTTACATTGCACCTGAGATCTCAGGATATAACATTATATGTATGCTGAATAACGAGCTCAAGGATTTCTTAATGGTGTGTTCATTCCGTATTCAATTATGAGTTTATTAAACACAATGTTCAACAATTAAGCCGTTATATGAAAATTTTTCTCACGCAGAAAATTATTATTGACCACAAAGAGAAATATAGTCTAGGAAAGGAGGCAGATCTAATTGATATGTTTCTTCAAGAAATGAAAAAAAATGAGGAATCCACCATTTTTACTGGTATAATCAAATTCATATAATATTTCATTCATACTTGTATAGATACTTGTATGTAGATTTACGATATTTTTTTTAAAAATGTGTGAATTTCTAATAGGAATTCATAGATTTCAAAAGAAAACATTTTTGATTTAATTAAAAATAATAAATTTTAAATTTTCTTTTAATTTTAAAAATACTAATATTTTCTAATATGTATTAATAAAAATATGTTAGCCTATTAATAGAAATAGCTACAAAAGAGAAAGTATTTTCACTAGAAGTTGTCATACAACCCCATCGAATGTGCACATGTAAATATATATATTTTTCTGTAATAATTTTTAGACGAACAATTAATGATGATATTAATCGATCTTTTTCTCGCTGGTTTTACTACTACAAGCACGTCTTTGGATTTTTTGTTTTTAATTATGACACTGTTTCCGGATGTACAACGTAAAGTGCAAAAAGAAATTGATTCAGTAATTCCACGCGATAGACTTCCCAACATGGAGGACAAAGCAAAGTAATTGAATTTAATGTTAAAAATAAATTTAATAATGTTAAAAATTATTATGCATATAAAATTTTAGACAAAATTAATTCAAATTTAGTTGAATTATTTGAAAAAAAATAAATTATTCTATTTACTCTGTATTATTTTTTTGAAATTTTTACATAGAAGGATAAAAGAATATCTGATGGATATTGGAGGATTCAATACGTATGAAAATAAAAATTCTTTATTATAGACTTCCATATGTCGAGGCTGTAATAAATGAAACATATCGATTATGGCCAGTATTCCCTATAATTGGACCACGACGAGTTCTTTACGATACGAATATTGATAAATACATGATACCGAAAAATACCACTGTTTTATTCAATACATATTCTATCAATAAAGATCCTACTATTTATCCAGAGCCAGATAAGTTCATGCCTGAAAGATTTATTAAAAATGGAGTTTTTATACCAGATGAATATTCTTTACAATTTGGAAAAGGTACAAAATAGAAATTAATTTTTTTTACAATTGTAGAAAAATTAAAAATTTTATGATACAGTATATTATGGCTCACATGATTAAATGAAATAGTGACTTAAAACTTGATTTTACTATGATCATCTATAATTTTTATAATTTTAATTATATTAATGTGTTTTTTTTTTTTCAGGAAAAAGACGATGTCCAGGTGATATATTGGCAAAAGCTACGATATTTATTTTATTTGTTGGTATAATGCAGAAACATACTCTATTACCAGTTCCTGGTAAAGGACCATATTCTATAGAAATTAATAGTGGTATAACATTGGCGCCACAACCTTATGATGTATTAGTTGAAAAACGATAATTTTTTAAATCTTTGTATTTTCATTTTCGATGAATATATTTTTGAAAGTTGCCTCTAAACAAAACTCGTCTTTTTTGAACTAAAATAAATTAAAATAAAAAACACGAAATATTATTATTGAATTTAAAAAAAAAATATGAAAAAGAAATACAAATTTCATTTATTATAAAAAAATGTTAATTGCTCACTATGAAGAAATAATAAAACTAAAATAATAAAAATAAAATAAAATGTATTATTTCATACTTGTTTGTAATATCCAAGTTATAAACGTATATATAATTTTTAGATTAGATTGTTCTAATGATAAATTGTGATAAATAATAATAAAAATATTATTAACACATGTAAAATATGACGTTTTTCGGTTTGAAGTAACTTCACCCATAGATAGAAACCAGTTTATTTGATTTCAACAAATTTTTCTTTCCAATATTGTTTATTGTTTCTACCGCATGAAAGTTGCTTTAAGCGTCGTTTTACGTGTTCGACGAAATCAGCGCGTTTCACAGAAGTCCAAATGTACCTTCACTTGTGCACCATCACACGTGGAGATTCACTCCTTTTATACCGGGTTTCAACATTTCAACGTGTCAAATATTCTTTATTGCTGAAAAATGGACTTTGCAAGATCAATAAATATATTGTATGATATAACAAACTTTTATTATATTATACAAATATTTTTTATAAATAAAAACTTATTATCTTATATTTATTTAAAATATAATAGTTTCTCGATTATTTCTAATATGAAAAGAGATTAATTAGATAATTTTATTTCTTAGATCAACAAATAGATGTAATCATATTGTAATATCATTTTTAGAGTGTAATATATCCATTATCTAATATATAATTATGTATATCTAATATACATAATATTACAATTATTTATTAAATTAAATTTTTAAAAAAAGTGTAAATAAGAGTATGATAATGATACAGTTTAATTATGTCTTAAAAATTATTAAAAATTATTATTATATGTTAAATATGATATGATTTTTATATTCAATTAAATTATTTTAAATTATTACCTTGGAAAAACGTGACGCATTATAAATGATTCACTCTGATAGATAGGGAAGTTTATTCACATATATAATTTTCTTTTTTAATGTATTATGTTTAAAATTTTATTCTCATTATTTATAATATTTATATAGTGGAGCAATTTGTTACATCGGATCTTGCCGTGATTTTCAAGTAATAAGATTTCGGTGATATAGTAAAACCATCGTATCCATTTGGATCTGGTTTGCCATGTTCTGGTGAAATTTCGATATCGAAGTAATGTATCACATAGGCAAAATATAAAAATAAGGATGTCCGAGCTAGCATTTCACCCGGACAACGTCTTTTACCTAAAAAGAACAAAATGACTATTATATACATGAGTTTTATATATCAATTTATCAATTATATCAATTATATATATCAATACGTATAAAAATTTAATATAATATAACATAAAAATTATATAATATGATATAAAAATTTCGAATATTTACACTGATATTTTAGTTTTCTATTTATCTTTTTTTGATAATGAAAACTACACTAGAAATACTACATAAAAATTTAATTTTAATCGATGAATTATTTTTCGGGAATAATGATATATGGATACGTATATGCGTGTTCAAAAATATTCTAAATGATTCTAAGAATCATTTTTGTATTGAAAAAGATTTGTACCTAAACCAAATGGTATATTGGCATTATTTTGACAAAATCGACCATTTGCATCGAGAAATCGCTGTGGCCGAAATTCTTCTGGATGATCCCAATAAGCTTGATCGTTATGCGCACTATGGAAATCCAAAAGAACTATGGTATCCTAAAATAATAAAAATATATTAATAAAACTATTTATTCGGGATATTATTTGTGATACTTGCCTTGGGTATATTGTATCCGTTTAAAATTACGTCTTTTGTAGTCTTATGAGGTACTCCAAGTGGTGCCAAAATCAAAAATCTTTGTATCTAATGCAACAATTAATTGTTTATACAATTTTTACAAGTTTATAATAATCATAATGAATAATAGATGAAAAAAATGAAAACTTTATTAATCAAAAACTATACTAATATATAACTATAATAATATAATAATTGTGTAATAATAAACATAAAATCTTATACAATAATTATTAACTTCTTTATTAATTAATTACCTCCGCAAGAAATGATTCCATAATTGGTAACGATGAATAATCTTCCAATGTAGGAGATCGTGATCTGCCTACTACGTTATCCAGTTCTTCCTGGAGTATTTTAATCCATTCAGAATGTAAAGATAAAAAGAGCAAAGTAGTCGATAAAGTATCTGTTGTAGTTTTTGAACCGGCTAAGAAGAGGTCCAGGCACAGAATCAATAAATTTTCTCCTTTTAAACAATAAAAATTATTTGTTATTAATAAGAAAAAAACTTAATTGTACGCATAAAAAAAAATCTCACTCACTATCAAAAATAGAATCATTTTGTATGCCATTTTTTGATGAAATTTCTAGAAGAAAAGCTTCAATCAAGTCTTGCGGCTGATTTCCAGATAAATGTTTTTCGTGGTTATTGATTTCTTCATCTAAGAAATTCCAAAGTTTTCGAAGTATTTTCATTAAATTGTTGTAACCGGATAATTCTGGTATTATGAAACGTAGAAATGGCATTTGTGAGATAATGCCGCCCATTGTATCCATCAATCTATGGCAAACGCATACAAATGTTTCGACATAATATTTGCATTGTATTTCTTAATGCACTTTCTGCGCTTTTAATTATAATCTGATCATATTAAAAAAAAACTTTAAAAATTATATTTTATTTTTTAGATTCTTTCTATAATTAAATTACCTAAAAGAATCGTGAACAGTTTCAAGAATTTCTATCAATTTTTCATTCTCATAGTCAAATCTGTGACCAGCAAACATACACCAGAGAGAGTTCAAAACTGCAATGTCAAAGGCTGTGTGCATTGGTACAGGGCCTTTGGTACTAACACGACGAAGATAATTCACAAGATTTTCAGCTTCGACAGTTAAATATTTTTCCATAATTGACTGACCTAGGCCAAAAGATCTGAGATGCCGCATTGTAAAACGACGACATTGAGACCACGTTGATCCTTCCGTAAATAAAATACCTGTCAAAATTTATTGATAAAATTATATTAAATTTATAAATTAAAAAAAGATACACAACATGTTTTTTAAATCTAATATTAATCGTTTATAGTACTAAATGAAAATTATAATTAAAAATTGAAAATTTTACTTTTTCTTTCTCCAAATCTTTTTTACATACCTTTTCTCTTTCCAAAAGCACGGACTCTGAAAAAGAATCCATCCGGTCTGCCGTTAAATTCGTCTTGAAGAAGAACTTTCTTTACTAGATCGTGCGTCGAAATTACAACGACTTTCTGACTTCCTAGTTTCAAACCCAAAATCGGCCCATAAGTCTTCGACAGTTCTTGAAAAGCCAAGTAAGCGTATTTGTGTTTCAGTTTCAATCGTCGAAACGTGAGAAAACAACCGATTAGCGGCAACCATTTTGGACCTATTCAAACATTGAATAAAATATGAATAAAAATTTGAAAAAAATTAATAAAACATCTTGATAAATTAGAATAAAAAAAATTATAAACTAAGACTTTATTATTATTAGGAATTTTAATCTCACAGAATTGTTTTTTTTTTTTTTTAGATTTAAAGTAATTAGTGTTTTATAAAAAATTATGTCTATTGATTATAAATTTTTTGTTAACCGACCAGGAGGAAAATTATGCGGTTTGACACAATTGTAAAAGATACAATAGAGTGCAAGGAGAAGAGAAATAATCACGTAGAACATCTTGAAATGACTGATACTTTAGTTTGAGACTTCGAATGCGATTACTATACCAAGCATATATACATGTATGGTAACCAAAACGATTCTGGCGGTACTCTGTGATATTATCAGCGTGACACCCATGGCCTTTGACGAAAATATCTTTTTGTCTGAGACATCCTTTTCATGGCGCTCTTCTCATTCTGTGTTCTGTTTATAGAAATCCATTTTTTCTTCCTTTTTAAATTATAATACAATAAAAACTCGATGTAAAATGAATCGCTTGGTTGAACTTAACAATTATCATTGTTTATGTCACAATATGTGTAAAAAAGAAACGAAACAAATAAAATATAATAGGTATATAAAAAGTAATTACTTACAAAATAATAATTGCTTATATTAAAGTATAAATATTTGAAACATTAAAATAATTGAAATAAATTGAAATCAAAAGAACTGTCTTTTATTTTCATTATAAAATGATACAAAAAGAAAGTATCAAAGAAGTTGAAATATTTAAAATATTGAATTATTTTCAGATTAAATGGCTTAAATTGACTTACACCAATTTTTATATTTTTGCGAAAAAAAGATATATATCTTCCATGTATCTTTTCATTTTGAATTCTTGTTGATATTCCATAACATGAAATAGCAATAAAATGGAACTTTCTGATACGCCTACGATTGCTATTCTAAAATCATCATTTTAGAAAGTTTTGGAAATTTTGATTTTTTCAAGTTTGAGATAAAAATTGAATTGTTAAGACTTAAATTGTTAAAATGCGAGTTTTTGAATTTTTAAAACAAATATTTATATATAATTTGACTTTTTAAATCAATAATAAATATAATATATAAAATATTTAGATTATAATTATTGTCTAGTCAAAAAATTATATAATTACCACTCAATAATGGAAAAAATCAAGTCATTTTTGATTTTATCGCTATTAAATTCGTATCATTTTATATTAATCGTAATTTAAATTAGAAAAGTATTCAAAAGTAATGTTATATAATTGTCGATTATATTCTCTTGTGCGTGAATTATGTTATAGTTTGTTTTTGATTCGTAAAATTCAACTATAATCGTTCGATATTGAAGCTTCAAAATTTACTATATACATAATTATATTTAATTATATTATATTAAGAAATATATAAAACAATTTTTTCAATTTTCTCTAATAAAATTTTAATTTCATAAAATTTTCCAATAAAAAGATTTTACTATAGTTACGTTAAATTTTCTATAAATTTCATCGAGATGAAATATCGAAATAAAATATCGAAACGAAACATCGACACAAAGAGACTGAGTAAAGT